TGTTTCTTTCTGGGCTCCCTGTTCTGTTCCATCGATCTTTGTGTCTATTTTTGTACCAGTACCATGTTATTTTGATTACTACACTTTCTAGTTTATCTTGAAATCTGGGATTGTGATACCTCCAGTTTTGTTTTTCTTCTTCAGGATCGCTTTGGCTAGTTGGATTTTTTTTGGTGGTTCCATACACATTTTTAGGATTCCTTCTTCTAGTTCTGTGAAAAATGCTGTTGGTATTTTGATAGGGGTTGCCCTAAATCTGTAGATTGCTTTGGGTAATATGGACGTTTTCATATTTTTTCTCCCAATCCATGAGCGTGGAGTATCTTTCCATTTGCTGGTATCATCTTCAATTTCTTTCCGCAATATTTTATTGTTTTCAGAGTACAGGTTTTTCACCTCCTTGGTTGAGTGTATTCTGAGGTATTTCATTCTTTTTTGGATTCAACTGTAAATGGGACTCTTTCTTAATTTATCTTTTGCAGAGTTAAGTTTTAACTGGAATTCAAACTGTCATACCTTTTAGGTTTTGCCATCAGAAAAAGTAAAATTTCAGAATGTAGCTGTGCATCGGTGCTAAAGTCCTCCATAGTAACCCGTTCTCTTCCCTCCCCATGCCCTCCCCCATACTCTCTCCATACCCTCCCCTCCCCAGTCCCTCCCTGTCCCCTTTCTCCAAAGTTGAGAGGACTAACGGGGGGAGGGCAGCCCTGACCCTTCAGCCTGATCTCTGATGGTGACACGTTTTAAGGCACCTTCTGAGGGCACCAGGGGCCCGGGGCTGACGCTGCCCCATGGGCCAGTAACAATCAAGAGCCTTCTTCTTCACTCAAAGGGGAATGTGGCTACGGTAACAGAACACAGCAGACCAAGGGGCTTCGAACTGCAGGACTGGATCCTCCCCCTGTTCTCCAGGCCGCAGGGGTGGGGTGAGGGTCCACCCGGGCTGGTCCTTTCTGGGGGCCCCAAGGGAGATCCGTTTGGTGCCTCTGTCCCGCTTCTGGGCTGCTGCTAAGCTGGGCGGTCCTGCAGTCCCTGCCGGGGGCTCGCCTGCCTTCCCCGCTGCGGGTCTGGGTCTCCTTCCTGTGCCTGCAAGGACACCGGTCACGTCGGATCGGGGGGTCTGCTCTGGCCCCTGTGACCTCATCTCAACTAACTACATCTGCAAAGACCCTATTTCCACATAAGCTCACGTTCTGAGGTTCCGGGGGGACACTAATCGAGCCAGCACGGGCACCAAGCACCAATAGGGTATGTCTGTCACCTCGCTCTGCATGTGGCAGCAAGACCCGCCCGTGACCACATGCTGGAGAACAGGACACCCCTCTGGAAGGTGGGGAGGCCAAGGCTGGAGAGCAGGTTGCCACGGTGATTGTGTCTGGGGTCCATCACGGCCCCCTAGCTCCCGCCGGGTCCTGTCCTACCCCCCCGGGTCTGTCGGTGCACCCTCCACACCGGGCCTGTGGGTGGCCCGCGGCCATTCCTCCTCACCCGCGAGTCTGGGGTCCATGACGGAGCCTCGGAGCGGCCTCGTGGCTCCGGGAGGAGGTAGGAGCGGCCCGTCCTTCGGGGGGGGGGGGTGCTGCCCGAGAGTCCCGGGCGAGGCAGCCCAGGACTTGTCACCCTGGCAACGGACGGAGGACCCTTCAAAGCCTAACCCAGGGCAGTGATTCACACAGCTGCCCGGGGGTTGGCCTTTGGTGCAAAGACAAGAGTTCTGGGGGGTTTATGTCAGCCGGCGGCAGAGCCTTCGGGGGTCAGTACTCCCCCCCACCCCCCATCACGTCAGGAGGGTTCCGTGGGCTTTGGCTTTGAGAACCACACCCGGGGATCTCCCGGGCGTCCCCGGCAGGGGTGAGGCGGGAGCAGTCTGGGCCGCGTCTGGCAGCCGGGACACTCTTGCCCGTCTCAGATGCACAACTACTCGTCCCCGTGAGCTTTGTCTCCCTCGGAAAGTCAGCCCATAGAGCCCGGCATCAGCTCTGTGGGGAGATCTGTCTCCGGCCTCGTCTTTATAAGTCTTAACAGACGGGAGACGAGCGGCCCTTCCGTCTCACCCTTTCGGACCCACACGGGCGCCAGGGCTCCACGGCTCCGCTGTATTCGGCTCCTCGCCTTCCGGCCTGGGTAGCATTTCCGGGGGTCGGAGGACCGGGGCGCCAGTCCGGACCTTCTTCCCTTTTCCCTCCAGGCTCCTTGGAGGCGCCCAGCGGAGGACTCCTGGGCATGCGCGGTCATATTCGCCCCTTTGGTCGCTCAGGGCGGGCGTGGCCTCGGGTCCGGGTTTCCGAGGCCCCGGAGGAGCCGTCCGTCCGAAAGGCGGGGAGAGGCATTGCTGGGGACAGAATGGCCCGGGTCCTGCCCCTGAGGCCTCCCCCTTCCCCAGAGGCTGACCCTGGGGAGGGGGTGCCCCCCTGCGCACACAGGAGCTGGGAGCCCCCAGGCCCAGGCGCTGCTCCCAGGAGGAGCCCGCCGTGGGCGGGATGGGTCAGCGGCCAAGGCCGAGCCCTCAACTTGCCGTCCCTGCCGTGGCCCCTGAAGATGTTCGGACGCAGAGGAAAACAAGGCCCGCCAGGACCCCCCAGGGAGGGGGCAACTGTAATGGACAGTGGGGGGCCCAGAGGGAAGACGTCCTGCAATCTCAGCAACGGGGAAGCCTGTGACCGTCCTCGAACTTGTCAGGTGTGAGCCCGGGTGTGGCCGCCTGAACTGCGAGCCGCCTCACCTTGTCTGTTCTGCTGGACTCTGACTCTGGACAGAGCAATTCTACTTAAGACGGCATTTGCCATCAGAATTATTACAAACAATAGGATTCTTTCACATGCAAGTGGCAGAAACTCATCTCAAAGTGCTTAAGCCTCAGAGGGGACTCAGCTTAGGTCCTTTATGAGACTAAGACGGAGGCTTCAGGAACAGCTGGATCAAGGGTGCAGATACCAGGATTTTGTTTCTTGCTGTCTTTCAGCTTTACTGCTTCCTCTACAAGGGAAGATACCTTAGCTCTCACAGCATCTCCAAAAGGGACGCAATGGCTGTTGGCACCCCCAGATTATAGGATTCTTGGTGCTTGTGATTGATTTCAGCAGGAGAGAAGTCCCCTGTTTCTTAGTGTCTATATTTGTCTGTGGAAGGGGGCTGGGCCTGGGCCGGCTGGGGTCTCATGCCCACCGCTATACTGAGGGGTTGAAGGTCATTCCCATGTTGAGGAGGGCAGTTCCCAGAAGGCAAGAGAAGGGGGCCAGAGATGCTGAGTGAACCAACTGGGTTCACTGCTGGGTGTTTGGAGACCAGCCTCCCACAGGGGACGAGTTACAGGGGCACCTGCTGAGAGGTCGGAGACAGGGACCAGCGGAGACGGAGGAGGAATATTGAAAGAAAGAAAAAAAAAAGAGCCTCTAAAAACCCCACACACCAACAACCTCAGAACTCTGACTCTGAAACTTGGAAATGTTACCTAAATTCTGACAAGAAAGGGCTTGTACATCTCTTTGTGTTCAGAATCGGCTGCTGGAGAGCCCAGAGCTTTCTCGAGGCTGTGCCCTACAGATTCATTTCGGATTTGACATTTAGAAGAATGTTCCACCCACGGCTCTTCTTTGTGAGACGAGAGTATCTGTGAACTTAATATTCAGGTGGATAAATAGATTGCTTGGAGAAAATGATCCCCTCTGAAATGCTGTCCCCTGGCACTTGTCTTTTGGTCTTGTTTTGTTTTGTTTTCTTTAGGAGAACTGTGAGGGAAAGAAAGCAAAATGCAGAAATCCTCTGTGATATCCTCACTGCCCACGATGTTCCCAGCTCAGATGAGGCGTGAGTTCTCTCCGTCCCCACCCTGCTGCCTCTGGGTGGCTGTTCACCCGGAGCCCAGAGAAGTGAGTCCTCACGGTGCACGGGTGAAGTTGGGGGGGGGGGGGGGAAAGCTGTGGTTTTGTTTTCGCCGGCTTTCAACTGAATTGTAGCATTTCCTTTGATTCTTGAGTGGAAGCAAGAACTCAGAGCAGCATTAGCAGGACTGGGGATTTTAGCACCAGCGGGATCACAGGTGTTTCACACCACGTGATTACTCTTGTGGAATCTGGAAGGAATGGTTCCTGATCATCTCTGCCCTGAAATTGCAATCATTATTAGACCTGCCACTGGATCTTACTACGAATGCACGAGAAAAGAGCACACACGTTGCTTTTCCACACTTACAATTCTACGCCCATTTTGATATTTGTGGGGCTTTTTTTTTTTTTTTTTTTTGTCATCCTTCCGAATTTTGTTTTACGCATTTCAGCATACGATTCTGGGAAGGGGTCCGTAAGCCTCGCTGGCCTGCTTGAAGGGAGCCACGGCGTCGCCGGCCACCAGCTCTGTGCTGTGAGTCTGACATGTGTTATTAGGGGAGCCCTCACACGCACGCTGTGAGGTGGGTATTAACAATCCCCCCCCCACCAACTTAACAGATGGAAAGACCGAGTCTCGAAGGATGGATACCTTCCCCAAGGAATGTATCGGAGCCACCAGCGGCAGAGTTGGAATTCGACTCCAGAACACCTGGCCCCCTCCTCCTGACCACCCCACCCGCTCCCTGCCTTCAGACACCCGGGAGGCCCCTCTCCTCCCAGAAGCTGCTCTCCCTGTATCACCGGTGAGCGGGGTTTGCCTGAAGTAATTGATTGAACGTTACCCAGAAGCGGAAGCCAACCAAAGAGAGACGGGTAAGTGTTCGGTTCACCATATTTAAAACTTTTCGTTTTAGATAGAGCGTGCGTGCGTGAGCCAGGGAGAGGGCCAGAGGGAGAGAGAGAGAGAGAATCTCAGGCAAGGCTCCACGCCCCTCATGGAGCCCGACGCGGGGCTGGATCTCACGACCCTGGAATCACGACCCGAGCCGAAATCAAGAGTTTGATGTTCAACAGACAGAGCCTCTCAGACGCCCCCAGCTCACCTGATTTTTCAGAGGCAAACACAGAGCGCTACCCTCCTTCTCGTTACTTAGCAAGCACGTTGCAAGTGCTCCCGGGTCAGGGAGAATGTTCGCGTGCGTCCAAGTGCACAGCGCCTGCCTCACGCTTCATCTGTGCAGGACTGGGTGAGACACTGGGCAGATACGCTGGGGCCGGAAGAGGAGGCGAGGAAGGAAAGGCGGGAGCAGGCTGGGAAAGGAGAGGGCAGAGACAGAAGCAGGAGGCAAATAGACAGACTGTTGTTCACGGGCAAGTCAGAGAAGGAAAGGGGCCCAGACCCGCTCTTCCAGAGACATGGGTTCAAATCCTGCTCCGGCCTCACCAGCTCTGTGAACCGTGTTCTTAGACGGAGACCTCACCCCTGCCTCAGAGATGAGTGCAGGGTTGTCAACTCTGTGTGTAGACACAGAGCGGGGCCTGGCCCTCGGGCGCCCGGTCCGTGGGGACACAGGTGATGAGGGCCTGATGTCACCTGGCATCCTGAGCCATTGCAGGCTTGGGCTTCGGGGACAGAACTTTGGTCAGCGGCTTATCTCAGTCCCGTGTGTTGCCCACCGAAAACCGCTCTCCGTTCTCCACCTGCTCTTTGCTCGGAAACCATCCCCGTCTGGCGGACCAGGCGCCCGCAACGGCTGCCACCAGCCAGGCACTGCGGCACCGGGGCCGGCACGATGGTCCCGAGAGCGCAGGACCACCCGGCCGTGAGCCAGCGCCTTTGCCCCTTAGCACCCGGAGAGGTGATGTGTTGTTCCAGCTCATTCCGCGGACACGCTCAGCACCCTCAGAGCGACCCCCAAATCGCGGAGGGAGAGTTTCTGCGCCGGTCTTCTGACCCTGGGCTTGAACAACAACTTGGTTTCTCATTTCACAGCCACACTGTCCTTTCCAGAAAACCCAGCCCTGTCCGTCCCTGGCTCTCACTTCCCGGCACCCTCACTTGCGCAGCTTAGAAACGGTAAGCAGCATGTTCCTCTTCCAAACATACTTTGGCGAAATATGCATGGCTCTGAAAACAAGGCCTGGCCACCTCCCGGGTGGAGCCCTGGGGAACTTGTCTCCTTGGTCTCCTATTCTTGATAACCTGACCCGGCCGCCTGCCCAGGTACAGATTCCCTGCCCTGGGCGTGTGGCCGGTTCTCTGAGCTCCATGCCTGCTGGGGACGAGGGGCGAAGAGCATGCTGGCACCACGAGCTCAGGAGGGAAGGCACACGGTCCCCCAGGCCAGTGGCCGCGGCAGGATGTCTTTCCCGGGTGACTCACCCAGACTCACATGGGTCCCACGTCCCTGGGCGCCAGCTGGGCCCAGATGGCCAAGAGGGGAGGCAGGGTCTTTCCACAGCTTTGCTCAGGATTGATGCTCAAGCCCCAGCTGAGGGACAGGGCGTCCTCGTCAGAAGGCTTGGCAGAGGCTCTCTTTACGAAGGGACTTAACCCACGATTGCGGAATGGATGTGGCCTGACATTAAGATGTTTTATGACTCTGATTAAGCAGGAGGGGGGAGCTGGAGAGAGGTGGTGATTAATCCTCCCACGGAGGAGCTGGCCCCCATCATCCCCACTAGACAGAGAGGCTGGACAGCAGGGGATGATTGCCGCTCCCCAAAGAGAAGAAGCCCAGTTTCCACCCGGGGTGTGGGGGGTGAGCCTCGGGCCTGCTGGGCGGGCGCTTTGCGTGTGTTCCCGGGTGGCCCGTGTATGGGCCCTCAGAGGGTCAGACACCTTGTGTAAGACAGAGGACGCCTGTGCCCTGGGACGGCGGTCCCTGAGGGGTCCTGGATGCCCCCTTTGAGACAGGTGCGAGGAGGAATCCCAGGAGGACAGAGCCCATGACGTTCCTCAGGGTCTCTGGTGTGGGCCCCACGGGAAGGCTCTTTGACAGCCAGGCCCCGAGCAAGTCCCTGTTTCTTGCAGGAAGAGTGTTTCCTTCCTGGCCTGGTTCCCCTCTCTGCTTGGCCCAGAAGGCTCAGGACTAAATTTGGGAGTCCGTGTTGTGAGTTCTTGAATTCCCATAACGTTCGCCCATCTTTTCATCTTAGCTCCGTGCTCTGATCGCTCAGGCATTCGTGTTTCTGGTGTTCGTCGTAGGGCACACACCTCTGGGTACGTCTCCATCCTCGTGGAATGAGGTCAAGGGTAATAATGGGCTTGTCTGTCTGTCTGTCCTTCCTGGCTGGGGATGCCTCTGGTGTGTCCACGCACGGGACTGTCCATGTCCTCAGAGGAAACCCTCTCACCGATCCCTCCAGAAGGAGACAAAGGGGTCAGGCACTGGACATGAAGTTGTAGAGACAACCCACGTGCCCACAGGGGCTGGTCAATGGGGTCTTTGTACACAAGACTCTCTTCGGTCTCTCAAAGGAATGAACTAGAGTTGCGACTCTCAACGTGAACAATTCTCCAGAACGGACGACTGAGCCAAAGATCAAGTTCCAGAAGAATATATATGAGATGATATTACTCAAAACCCTTTTTAAAAATTTGAAGTGCTTTTCAGCAGTGTTTGTTGGCTTATTTATTTTTTGTTTTTTCTTTTTTTTTTGTTCGATGGCACTCTGGTCACTGAAATGAGGATGTCTGGCTTCTCAGAGGTCAGGACCTGCCTTGAAGGACCCCAGTCCTTCCTACTTTTTCCAATGGTTCACCTTCATCTGTGGGAATGGAGCACTGGGTCCAGGGGCACAGACTGTGGTCTTTGCCAACACACCAAGTAAAGCCATGTGGGGACACAGGAAAGCCCCCTTTCGGGGTTCCATCAGGAGAGAGCCCTCATCCATGAACAGGGATGGGGCTTCGTCCGGGACCACTCAAGGGAGACTGGGAACTGTGGCCGGGCTCACCTTGGGCACAGAGTCTGAGAGGGGGCCCACTTCATGCTTGTCGCGAGGGCGATTCTCAGAAAACAAAACCAGAAAGGACCAAGGGTCGGTGAGGATGTGGAGAAATCGGAACACTTGTGCTTTGCTCGTGGGCGTGTAGATGCAGCCACCGTGGCAAACCGTAGGAAGCTTCCTCGAAGAATTAAAGATAGAATGACTGTAGGGTCCAGCAAGTCTGCGTATACACTCCAAGGAACTAAAGGCAGATGCTCAAAACAGATATTTGCACACCGATGTTCATGGCTGCATTATTCGCAACATCCAGAAGGTGGAAACCACCAGAATGCCCACCGATGGGCACGCGGATAAACTAAATGTGGTCTAGCCACACGATGGGATACTATTCAGGCTGAAAAAAAAAAAAGAACGTAATTCTGACACGCTACAGCAGGGACGAACCTTGGAAACATCGTGCTCAGCAAAACAGGCCAGTCCCAAAGGACAGACGCTGTCTGATTCTGCTCAGTGAGGTGTCTGGAGTAGTCAGGTTGTTAGACACAGAGAGGAGGCCAGAGGTCGCGGGGGGCTGGGTTGCAGTTTGCGAAGACGGAAACTTCTGGCGATGGATGGCGGGGATGGTTGCACCACAATGGGAATGTGCTTAACGCCGCTGAATTTTACACTTAAAAAGTAGGTAAAATGGAAAATCATATATGTATGTTTTGTAATCATAACAAATTTAAGCGATGCCAGAAAATCTCAGTAATCAAGGCAAATATATGCATTAAGAAGCGCGCGAAGGCATGGCTTTCCTTCCGTGATTTTGCTTCGTCCGTTTTTTTCATTTCGTTGTTCCATGTGTGATGGCCAGAGGATTCTTTCGGCTCTGTCATCTGGCCTGATAAACTCTGATGATTAAAGTTTCCCTGACACAGCTGTATTCCCTGGTTCACGGGAAACCGAACCAGAGAGGGACTTGGGCACAGTTTGGGGCGTTGGGGGTCTTCTTCCTCCAGGGAAGGGCCACCTCCAGGGAAGGGTCACCACCTGCCTCTTGGTCAGGGTCAACTCCTTCAGGCTGGGACCTTGTCTGTCCTGTTCAGAGCAGTACCCGAATCTGCCTGGTGCCTGGCACATAGAAGGTGCTTAATAAATCAGGGCTGAGTGAGCCAGGCAATGAAGGAATGAAAAATAAAAGTCTAACTAACATGTAACCCTTTATAAAGTACACACAACCTTTCTCGCAGATGTCCTTGAAACTTACACTCGGGGTAATTGTTGGATGAAAAGTTGGTGGTTGAAATGGGAAAGCATATAGGGTTGTGATGCTTTAAAAACCATACCTTAAGGGGCACTTGGGTGGGTTAAGCGTCTGACTCTTGATTTCAGCTCAGATCATGATCTCACAGTTCATGAGTTCCGGCCCCAGGTTGGGCTCTTCACCGACAGTGTGGTGCCTGCTTGGGATTCTTTCTCCTTTTCTCTCTGCCTCTCCACCTCTCTCTCTCTCTCTCTCTCTCTCTCTCTCAAAATAGTTTAAAAATCCTGTATCTTAAGTATTTATATTTGTAAATCTTCAGTGGAGGTGGACACAGTCAAATACATTTTCTTTAACCACAAAAGAGGTGAACATATAATTTGTCACCAAGTACTTAGACATAAGATGTATTTGCATTTGATGTGTCCCTTAAATGCACAGACCATTGAGCTGTCAGACGTCTGCTCATGGGATAGATGAGCTCATGTGCACGGTCTGAAGGGGTCTACTTATCTTCTTCCTTGCAGAGCTGTTTCTGTGCCTGGTGGGAGTGGTGCCCCCATGGCTGGCTTCCCCGAGAGGCACCTCAAGTTCATTGTGCTCCTCTGATCTGGCCCCTGTAGGATAGGAGCCCCGGACAAGGTAAGGGGAACAGTGTGTGTGTGCACAGAGTATGCATCCGTTCTGCCTCCTCCTCCTGCCCTCCCAGCTTTGAGCTTCCGGGCTGCGGAAAGCTAACTACACGACTTGCCTGGCTCACCCAGTCGAGGCTGTTTGGTGCCCTGTGTTTTCGCCTGTGTCCTGTCTTCTGCCAGAAATGCCCCTCCCCCTTCACTTTTCCCCTCTCCTACCCCACACTCACCTAAAGGTCCTTGGCCCTCCATGTCTGGTCCCGGTATCAAGAGCACATGGGGGGAGCGCAGGGTCTCAGCTCCCCCCACCACCTGATGAGTCACAGCCTTCTGTGACAAGGTCTTCAAGTGATTCAGACGCCCCTTGAAGCGCGGAAGCACCATCAGTGACTCCTGCTCATCCGTCAGTGTTCGGCTCAGAGGCCACCTCCTCCAGAGAGCTCTCCCGGCCTGCTCCCCGCCCCCAGCCTGCAGCAGGGGCAGTTGGAGAGCCGGGGTGGCCCGGCAACGGGCGCGCAGGCCACCTTCTCCAGCACTTCGCGTCCCCGAGCGTCTGTCTTCTGTGCCCGTGACTCTGCGGAAGGACGCGTATCGTCTGTCGTGGTTCTGCCGGGGTCGGCGCTCGGGAGTCTGAGCGCCCACTTGGGAATCCTCCCCCTGCACTCAGGCCCCTCCTGTAGCCGTGCTTGGGGTCCCTGTTGTGGGAGCCCCTGGGAGGGGAGACCACCTGCTCGCGAGGGCTTCGGGTGCGGTGGGAGCGTGGTGGGAGCCCAGACCGATGCGCCTGCTGCGGACTCCCCTCCTCGGAAAGCTGGCTTCCTGCTGGAACGGTCCGCGCCCTCCTGAGTGTTCAGGGCTCCCCGTAGAGATTCTTCTAAGGGCTCCCCGGGGACGTGCGGACAGCCCTCGGGGTTCTCAGGGAAGATCTGAGGCCTTCTTCCTGGCTCTCCTCTGAGCACCCCCCCAGCTGCCCAGACACAGCCCCAGTCTGTCCTCCCCCATCACCATGATGAGCACCCAGTGCTCCATGTGGACCCCGTGAGCCCCCTCCCCCTCCCCCACGTCCCCTGTCCTCACAGCCTGGGAGATCTGTGTAGGACACACATCACACACGTCCCCAGCGGCCACCCTCTCCCTCCAGGCCTACCCCTGCCCCTGGCATCCCCCCCTGCACCACAGAGACGTCTGTGCAGTTGCCCTGCCCCCCCCCATCCCCTTCCCTGTCACCTTTGCCCCAGTTCCCCTGCCCCAGAAGCACAGCCCTCAGGCCTTTATACTCTTGTTCTCTCTGCCTGGAACGTTCTGCCCCCTCCCCTCCCAGGCTACCTCCTGTTAGCTTTACTCTCAGCCTGAATGTCACCTCCGGGTGTGATCTCTGACCCTGGTTAGCCATCACCCTATTGGAACCGTCTACAGAGCAGAGATTACCATCCTTTGTCCCTTTGGTCTTTGTCACCTGGCCTTGCCCCTCCTACAACGTAAGCTCTGGGGTCCACGGGGTCCACGGGCTCACTGGGGTGTCCTTTCCATCACTGCCTCCCATGCACTGGAACACACATCATAGAAGCTGCACAGACATTTACTAAATAAACAGATGTGAATGAAGGAAGTAACACACACACACACTTTGCATCAAATAGAGTCAAGGGTGCTGGTCCTTCTCCGAATTGCGTCTGGACCCTGTCTGCCTGCTCTGTGCCCGAGGCTGACCCCTCTGCCTACGTTCCCAGTCCCCCGGGGGGCCGTCCCTCTCCAGCAGTCCAAGGGGGACCGGAGGACAGAGGGGGCATTTCCCTGTTCCCTCGACAGCCCCCACTGGGCTCAGCTGAGGCCACATCCCTCTCCCTCCGGACCGAGGTGGCACCAGGTTCCCCTGGTGCTGGTGGCTGGG